TAGTTTCCAGGACAGCAGAAAACAAGCCTGCTCCCTCTTCTTTATGACATCCTTTCACATATTTATACATGGCTATCATGTCTCCTCTCAACCTTCTCTTCTGCTGGCTAAATATATCTAGCTCTTTCAGCTGCTCCTCATAGGGCCTGGTCTCCAGAACCTTGGTCTTTTACTTGCCCTCCTCTGGACACTTTCCTGCTCATCAATATCTCTTTTGAGCTGTGGTGCCCAGAATTGGACCCAGTATTCCTGGTGAGGTCTGACCAAAGTAGAATAGAGAGGTGCCATGACTTCCCTCGATCTAGACACTATATTCCTTGTGATGCAGCCCAAAATCCCTCTGACCTTTTTAGCTGCTGCATCACATTGTTGGTTCATGTTTAACTTGTTGTCCACTAAGACTCCAAGATCTTTTTCACATGTACTGTTGTTGAGCCAGGCGTGATCCATCCTGTATCTGTACATTTCATTTCCATAAAGGCCAAGAAGAGGCACAAATCAGACTGAATACTTTTATCATTGGTATGAACGGTATGATTTTTTTTAAAAGCAGAAAGTATAATCCAGTGATGGTTCCTGTAATTTAATGTAAACTGTGTCATTTCTTCTCATACTGCATGGAAAAAAACACCTGGTATAAGCCTAAGAGCATTTTGTAAGTCTCCAAGGGAGACTTTTTGAGCTTGTAAATATAGTGAATGCATCATATAACAGTGGGTTTTAACAGCTGTTTTAACTTGAAAGATAGTCCTTACAAATGTGGCTATTTAACTCTCATGATATGGTATATGCACATTTTCATATTCCTCTGAACCGGTGCAGTATTCAAGATGCTTATTAATGTTCTTGCTGAGAAGATACAACATCTAAGCTCTCCTCTTAGGAAAAGGACTAGGCCTCTCCAAACTAGAGGACAAGATATTGTTAATATGAATAATTTTAATGTCTGAACATGCTTAACACAGAGGACAGAAACATTTTTCATTTGATAGAAAGAAGAAGAATGAAGAGCAGGCTGATGGAAATGTTGAAGAATTGTGTTTTGCTGTATGGCACGATGTTGAACCGTATGACCATTGCAGCCCAATCTAACACTTATGATCATAATCATATTAATCCAGGAGGGGTCCTGACTCTACTATAGAGCTGATACTGCTTATATCAGTTACATTCATCCAACCAGATAGCAAGACTTTATGAGAACAGTCTGATCATGCATAGAACCAGGTTGCTATCCTTTTGATTGCTGTTGCAGAAGGAAGAAATTTGAGAAAAGCACTGTTTCCACCTAGTTAGAGATATCACGAAACAAGGCAGTCCTGTTTAAAAAATAGGTTTACTGTGACTGTGACATGTCATGCAGCAGTCTTGAAAAAGTGTAAAGCTTTTTCAAGAGAATATTAGTTTTATCTCAGAATTAAAGATTTAGAAATAGCTGAAAATTAAAGTGGAAGAAATTACCATGTCAGGTTTGGTTTTTACAGTTTAGTTTTCAGCTAAGTAGATCATTTACCATGTGGAGGTTTTGGTAGAAAGAGAAGGCTCACTATGCAGAATAATGTCTTAAAGCTACACCTGTTGATAAACCCTAGAGCAGTGGTTCTCAGCCTGGGGTCCCCAGATGTTTTTGGCCTACAACTCCCAGAAATCTCAGCCAGTTTATCAGCTGTTATGATTTCTGAGAGTTGTAGGCCAAAAACATCTGGGGACCCCAGGTTGAGAACCACTGCCCTACAAGCTAGTTGGCATTGAACCAACTAGCTTGGTTCAATGGAAAGTTGTGTGATGGGAAGTTGTTGCTAACTATGAGAGAAATAAGGTTGAACACTGTGAAAGCCATCCACTGCATGGCTATCAGCCTCCTCCCAGTAGACTCAAATCAAGGAAAAGCTTCATGAGAAACACCACTCCTCTCAATGTTCCCCCAGCAACAGCAAGAGTATCCCTCTGGGCAGCTAAACTAGGAAATCCCAATTGGATGGCCCTCCCATGGAGGTCTGCCTCCAGAGGCAAACCAAGAATGAGCAACTTGGAAGTCCCTGAGCAGACTCAGAAGTGGAGTGGGCAAATCAAAAGACAACCTTGCAAAATGGTACTACCTAAAAGAATCCTCCACCTTGTGCGATTGTGGAGCACAACAAACAACTTCTCATTTGTATGCTTGTCCACAATGTCCTGTCTCATGTACAGAAGAATTATTATTTCAAGCTATAGATAATGCAGTCACTGTTGCCTGTTTTTGGTCAAAAAAATATTTAGCCACTTGTGCTCCTCCCATTTTTATCACTTTTATACTTATTAATGCAATGCTTTTGATACAAATTCATAACTATAATAGTTTATATAATTTGGGATGGTACACTTTCCCCCTTTACTATTAAAAAGATCAAACTAATGGGATTAAAAGCATCTAGGCTATAAAGTGGGCCAGGGAGCATAGGAAGTAGGGGTTTCCTCTTTCAAGAAGTAATCAGTAATGTTCTAATAGTGGTGGAAATGGTTCAACTAAATAGAGATCACTTCTTTTGATGCCACCCTAAAAGTGGAGAGATTTCTGGTGTGCCCATGCTGAAAATCCATTCTTGGGGAGATATAAAAGGATTTTTTTTTTACGAGGAAGTTGTTTAAAGAAGAAGAAAACCTGGGTTTCCTATATCCATTGATCTATTGACTTCCAACAACACCCCTTTCTGTAGTTGTTATGTTCCATAAAAGAATTCAGTCTGATTTGTGTAAGTTTCAATGTGTGATGACTCTATGAATGAGAGTCCTCCAATGTATTGTGACCATGAATGAGGCCCTCCAAATTATCTTTTTAGTCTTGATCAGGTCTTCCAAAGTCAGAGTCATGGATGCCTTGATTGAATCAATCCACTTATACCACAATATTCCGTTACGTCCTATTGCCTTCATATTTTCTCAGTATTATTGTCTAGGCCACACAACACCTTGTAACACAGACCTTGTGTTTATTAATATAGGAAGACCTTTCTTCAAAGGAAGAATGTGTTCCCAATTTTGCAAAGAGTGTCAACCTTGTCTGCAAAGGCATAAATAAACAAATCACTGCCATCACCCACAAATATAAAAATGGAAGGCCACCAACTTGAAGTAAAACATGAGAATCCAATTGTGACAATGCCATCAACAACACTAATTTCTGATGGCAGCACTTGACTCAGAAGGCTAAATTGTCAAGTGATAGCTATTGTTTATGTATAGAGTATACATTTAGCAATAATCAAGACTCAGGAGCAAGAATCACTTCCAAAATGTCTGAAAATCAGTACGCTTTTAAGTACACACATGAAACTCCATTCCAATTCAGCAAACTCCATTCCAATCACACAGACACACACTGACACACGCGCACACACAGAGGGGGGTGGGGACCTGGCTTCTACAAGCTCTATGCCAAAAATTCTGAATTTTCAAAAGTTATAGCTCTGGCTTCTGTTAATGTTAGCATAATGCCACTCCCACAAAGTGGTTCCCTATAACCCTTCCAAACTATTCTCCAATTCTCTGAATAGACTCTCCTCCCCAAGAAATAATCTCCTCATTTTCCAGTTGAGGGCTATATTTCCCTAATTGAACCAAGTAAAAAAAGAATTCATCTTGCGCTCCTTCCAAAAGCACCCATAGTTCATTGTTCTTTTTCATCATTGAAGAGAATGCTGTGGTTTGGAGAAAAAGAATTACCTCATTATATGAATGAACTAACGTCTATCAATTAAACGACTGGAACTACTGACTGCACAAGACATGACTGAAAATAAAGGTACAACTAGACCTCAATATTCACAGATTCTGTATTTATGGATTCCGTCATTCACAACTTGCACATATTTTTTTTAAATCCAAAAAGGAAACTTTAGTTTTGCCATATTACATATTAGCTAAAGCAGTGGTTCTCAACCTGGGGTCCCCAGATGTTTTTGGCCTTCAACTCCCAGAAATCCTAACAGCTGCTAAACTGGCTGGGATTTCTGGGAATTGTAGGCCAAAAACATATGGGGACCCCAGGTTGAGAACCACTGACCTAAAGGATGCAATTTTACTATGATATTGTATACAAAGGGATTTGAGCATCCACTGATGTAGGCATCAACTGGGAGTCCTGGGACCAAAAACCAGTAGATACCAAAAGCCCGCTTAATAAAGATGTACACAAAAAGTACTGGAAGAAAGCAAGAAAAGCGTGGAAGTAGATAGTGTCGATTAGCAGTTGTTCAGATTAATAAAACAGTAATGAGTGCAAAGGCTTTTTCAGTTTTCATTGCTATCTATGTATCGTGGGTTTCCATATACCTTCCTCATATTCCTGAAAATTCAGTGTCCCACCCCATTCCTCACCATTGCAGTTCCTGAGAAAACACTGGAACACTTTCTTTGCCCAAATGAAGAAACCAACATTTCCACATTGGCTATCGCACTTTAGGGATGTAATTTTTTTTACTAATTTCATTCTTGAAATGATTAGTAATTTCAGCAACCTACTCTGGAAAAATTCTTCAAAAACTTGCATTTTTCAAAAAAACTGTTCACATTTCAGGGCTTATTCTCACAAAATTTCCATGGGAGTGAGTTCACACAAAAAAAAAACCCCAGCATTTTCTGCACAGGAAACAGTATTTTCCATGTATTGTCAAAGGCTTTCATGGCCAGAATCACTGGGTTGTTGTAGGTTTTTTGGGCTATACAGCCATATTCTAGAAACATGGCCATACAGCCCAAAAAACCTACAACAACCCAGTATTTTCCATCTATATAGAAAATACTGTTCTGTGCAGAAATTGTTGACTTCTGCACATAAAACCGTGTATGAGTTTTGTACAGAATACATTCCGAACTCTGAAAATTCTTGTCACTTCATAATTCTCCTCATTCAGTTTTCCCATGGATGAAAAAACATATTTTGACCATTTTAAAAAATACATTTTTGACTACTCATTCCATCTGTATCTGACTTACATTCCCAAACCACCCAGGTCTCATACCTTGAATTGTTCTCTTGAAGAAGGCTTTGCATGCTTCGCAGGAGGCCACTCCATAGTGGTATCCTGATGCAATGTCCCCGCACACTAGGCACAGCCTCTTGGGAATGGCATTGAGCATATACTCGCACTTGGTGGGTGAATCTTCCATGATGGCGCTGGCACAGTCATCATACCGTTTGCGGCAGGGCCCACCCCCAATCCCCGCACTGTTGAACATGGGCGGTGAGTCCAGGCCATTGGGATGGCCACCCATAGTGAGGCCGTAACCACCACTGGCATCAGATGAACCGCTGGGACTGTGGTGGCTGATGGCATCAATGCCTGAGGATGGGCTGGACGGCTCAGTCTTGATGAAGGACCCACAGCTGGAGGTGAGGTGCCGCTCATCCGTGGACATTCTGCCTAACAGCCTGTGAATAGGAAGCACAGAAAAAAACTATTAGCTGACATAAAAACCACACATAGCTGGAATTGTGCCTATCCTGACTTTGAAAATGATACTTTGAAAGCTAATGCAATATTTACTCAAGCATACATTCTCCACCAGCACATACTTAAAATCCAGCCCAGAAAACTTATAAGTCAAGGGATGAGGATTCAGGGTGACAAATTCATTCTACGTTTATTTGAATGTGAATGAAGCCAAAACATGAACTAAAACACAAGCTGGAAACTTTGAAGCATGACAAACCCTACCGAAATAAATGACTTCTGCCAGAGCATACCATAGAGCTTCACTGGAGGACTCAGAATAAGTATATGATAACTACTGGCTGAAATTTAACAGATAGTCTGGAGGACCTAGAAAAACCCTGGAGAGGACATAGTTTGTGTATGTGAAACTGCACATACCAGTCTTCCAGATAAGCAGGTCGTACTGTATATGTTATATTTATATTCCACCTTCTCTCCAAAGAGCCCTATGTGGATCACAATTCAATTTCTTCTCACTTGATTCTCACAAATTGCAGAAAAAGAGATAATGCATAAATATTAAGAACTTCCTGATGGTAAGTGCTGTTTGTCAGTGAAATATACTGCCTCAGAGTGTGCTGGAGTCTCCTTCCGTGGAGGTTTTTAAGCAGAGGCTGGATGGCCATCTGCCAGGAGTGCTTTGTTGGTGTGTTCATGCATAGCAGGGGTTGAACTGGATTGCCCTTGTGATCTCTTCTAACTCTACGATTCTGTGACAACAACTGCATGAGATAGGTAACACAGAGTGACCCAGGGGCACCCAGTAAGGTTTAATCTCAGTGGATACTAGATCAACAAATCCAGCACTCTAGTCCAGGGGTCCTCAAACTTTTTAAACAGATGGCCAGGTCACAGTCCCTCAAACTGTTGGAGGGCCAGATTATAATTTGAAAAAAATGAATGAATTCCTATGCACACTGCACATATATTATTTGTAGTGCAAAAAATATTCAAAACAATACAATAATTAAAATGAAGAACAATTTTAACAAATATAAACTTATTAGTATTTCAATGGGAAGTGTGGACCTGCTTTTGGCTGATGAGATAGGATTATTGTTGTTGCTGTGTGCTTTCAAGTTGTTTCAGAATTAGGTTGATCCTGAATGAGGGCCGGGTAAATGACCTTGGAGGGCCGTATCTGGCCCCCGGGCCTTAGTTTGAGGACCCCTGCTCTAGTCACTACTCCGTATAGATTCTCTCTTGTGCTTTATAGTCTTCCTTAGAAGGGTAATATACAATATTGTCATCCTTTTAAAAACAATCAGACAGATATTTTGTGTTTTATTCAACCAATTGCAAGTGTACAATAAGGAATGAAATCTAAGAACATGGCAAAGTGTAAGTGGACCTATTTGTCCTAATGTATATCCATAAAGAAAAAATATTGCTTGGCTCTGATTGCTCTTTTAGGAATGTGAATGGCGCGAGATTTGATCATGTTCTCCTATGAACAGGCAAGAAGCTCAGTTACTGTTCCTGGCTCCAGATAACCACTTTAGAGGTTCTCAGCATTTCATTCTTTTCATCCTTCTTTCAACCCTCTTTTAATCACAGGTCATTTGTGATAATCCTTTAAGCACCTCTGCTGCCCTTATTTGGATTGATTCCAAGTCGTCTATGTATTTCCTGTTGCAAGGTGCTTACCTAAGAATGCAACACCCGAAATACACCCTGAATGGAGAACAGAATGAGAGGCTGCTCCTAAACATGAAGCCTGACTAGTTAGATATACAGTTGTGTTCCATTTGCTCTCTAAGCCATGGATCATGTTGCAGACTGATATTGCTCGATAGCTATTCTCTTCCATTCCCCTCAGATTTCTCTCAACATACCACATTAGATTCTTTTCCACTATTATATCAGTTTGTTTCTGCAATCCTTCTTGTGACTTTTAAATTGATCATCTAAACTAACCATGGCAAACTTTGGCCCTAAAAGCAGGTAGGTATATGTTATAATAATAATAAATAATAATAAACTTTATTTATAACCCGCCACCATCTCCCCAAAGGGGACTCGGGGTGGCTAACATGAGGCCAGGCCCAAAAGAGCATAGTCTTAACAATGCTCTTCCTTCCTGGCCTCATGCAGTTTAGTCCAGGCATGGGCAAACTTCGGCCCTCCAGGTGTTTTGGACTTCAACTCCCACAATTCCTAACAGCCAAAGTTTGCCCATGCCTGGTTTAAACGACTTCATGCAAAGCATCTGTGTGCCCACAGTAGTTTTTTTATTAACCTAGCCTTAAAATATTGGAGCTCTTAGCCTAATTTTACAAAATAAACTGTCTTCGTATAAGATTAAATCATGTTACCAATTTTGCATGAGACTGAGTAGTCGAGGGGTGAAATTTAATGCAAATGATACTGCTGCTATATTCAATAGGATGTGACTTCAGTCGATAGATCTCTTTGCAACCTGAATTTATTTCCATTTTGGGATATTTTTTGTAAATCCCTGATTTCTCCTTTTCTCCATTCTTCTTACTGCAAGCCCCACATGTGCCCCACAAGAACTTCACTGCAGACACTAAAATTTAGCCTTTTAAACAGATATGTGCAATTCATTTATAATTCCATTTGTGATACCACAGTTTCTTCTAGAGTCTAGATTTGACACCAAGCATCTTCCAAAAATGTACTTCTCTTGAGTATACTTTTAATTCATTTTGGACACAAGTTCATATTTTCTCCCTAGAGATTTAAAACCACAGAACTCATCCTGAATTAATAATAATAATAATAATAATAATAATAATAATAATAAATCTTTATTTATATAAACAGCCACTATCATCACATAAAATAAGATAAAATACACAATTGAAAAACACATACCATCAATACACCACTAAAGTGCCAAAGTGTTGACCTCATATGGGTCCATTTCAGCCTACTCAAGGCCAAAGGCCTGCTTAAAAATCCATGTTTTTAGGCTGGAATGGAAGGATTCCAGGGTGGGGGCTAACCAAATCTCTTTTGGGAGGGTATTCCAGAGCCAGGGAGCCACTACAGAGAAGGCCCTCTCTCTCATCCCCACCAACTGTACTTGAGATGGTGGTGGGACTGAGAGAAGAACCTCCCCTGCCGATCTCAATGCCAATTCATAGAAAGAGATATGGTCTCAAAGATAGGTTGGACCTGAAGCATATAGGGCTTTGTTCAATGTGGATTTTATACAGCTGTGTGGAGGGGCCTAAGTTTCTCTTCTAAATGTTTGCCATATTAGTATTTTAATTTTCAAAGTAGATAAAATCCAGAGCTAACTGCAATAAAAAGATCCAATGCATACTTAGCTTTCTGGAAGTGCCATAATTGTCTTCAAGCAAATGTATATTAGCTCTCCTAACCATTGTGCAATTTTGTTCATAACACACATCATTTTTTGTTAGAATTTGAAGCTGAAATCTTTGTTTTTCTTCTAACTCTTGTTCTCCCTCATCCTAATGTCTTTCAGATCCCCCCTTAAATTTTTGTGTAAATAACTATAGTTGTTTTAAAAACTATGAGCAGTTTGATTGTAACCCTTTTAAAATGCAGGAAAGATGGAGGAGAATGTTAATTGTAATCCTGATTTCAGTTAATTGTATATATATCATACTTTTGGAATGGGGGTTCAGAAGGGTTTTTCTGCCATTTTTATTATTTATTACTCAATGGTCATGAGGATAGAAAGCTTTTTAAAGAATGAATTCTGGAAATGTAACAGTGCTCCCCTGATCCTGCAATTTGTACTTATGCACTTCAGCACCGTAACGCCATCAATAGACAGATGTTTCTTACACTTGCTTTAAAAAGATGCCATGTAATTCTGAACAACAAATGAAAAATGTATCTTTCCACTTTGACTTAAAAACCTAAGTATAGCATTTCCCTTAACTGATTTTCATCATAGAGCATATGTTACTTGCTCCCCCCACCATGCCAGAATCATTTGCTGTTGAATAATAAATGCATACTTGCCGCATTATAAAAACAAACCTCATCCCAGAAGAAAGGTGGACAAGAAATCAAACACAGACACACACACACGAGAGAGAGAAAGAGAGAGAGAGAGAGAGAGATACATGGGCCCCTGTCTAAACGTATCTCCTGGTATGAACCATCACGAAACTTAAGATCATCCAGGGAGGCCCTGCTCTTGATCCCACCAACATCGCAAATGCGACTGGTGGCGACGAGGGACAGGGCCTTCTCATCAGTGGCCCCCCGCCTGTGGAGCGCTCTCCCCAGAGACATCAGAGTGGCCACCTTCCTCCTGCCATTTAGAAGGAAAAGCAAGACCTGGCTGTGGGACCAAGCATTCGATCGGTGAGCAGCAATTGAAAGAAGATTTTAACACTGATGACAATGATTTGATCCGGACTGGATTTTGGACTCCGATTTTAATAGGCATATATTAATCAATTATTTTAACTACTGTTTTAATTTTTAAAATATTTTTAATGTACTGTTGATTGTTTTATGATGACGACACCATATGGTGCTTTTGTGAAGCTGCCCTGAGTCGTCCCCCCCTCAGGGGTGAGAAAGGCAGGGTAGAAATATAGGAAATAAATAAATGAATAAATAAATAAATAAATAAATAAATAAATGGTGGCTCAGTGGATTAAACCGCTGAGCTGCTAAACTTGCTGATTGAAAGGTTGGTGGTTCGAATACGGGGAGCGGGGTGAGCTCCTACTGTTAGACCCAGTTTCTGCCAACCTAGCAATTCAAAAACATGCAGATGTGAGTAAATCAATAGGTACCACTCCAGCGGGAATGGTGCTCCATGCAGTCATACTGGCCACATGACCTTGGAGGTGTCTATGGACAACGCCGGCTCTTTGGCTTAGAAATGGAGATGAGCACCACCCCACAGAGTTGAACATGACTAGACTTAATGTCAGGAGAAACCTTTACCCTTTACCTAATACACACACACATACTGTAC